CAAGTAGCGGAATGCTACAGAGGTAAACAAACAATATCATTTGGAAGAGGATTAATAAGTGTTGACATTCATACAAATGAGTAATCCTGTAAACGTAAACAGAATATTTTATATAGATTTTTTTTAATGAAAACTTAAAATCCTGCATTATTTTCCGGACAACCCAATAGTAATTTTTTTTAAAATTTGTAGTACATTTCAACTACCATAAAGTAGGTAACAAGTAACAGTGTGCAAGGTAATTATACAAAATGAAAACCAAGAGTGGAGAAAACACCCATTGGTATTACGCCAATGTTACAATAATATTGTTTGTTTAACTGTTACGTGTGTTATTATCACTTTCAATGTCATCACCATCACTTCCTAGGAGATCTCGCGGCCATTGTCTCTTCAGTCAGCGGGGAGGGTTTGAGGGGATTCGTCGGGATGCGAGGTTTCTGATGTGCTAATTTACGTTAGTCGGGAGGTTTTTATGAAATTTACTTTTTTTTCTTTTTTTTTTCTTCCCCTTTCCACCACCCCGCCGTACCTGTGGAAGACCCCATACCGGCGGACAAACGCTTTAGCTTAATCGAATTTGTATATCTAAGGGATATCAAATAAATGGGATAAAAATACCTCCCAACGATCTTTCCTTCAGGCGAGACCGCTGGTCGGTTTTTGAAGGGACCATATTTTCATTTTAGAACCTAAAACAAAAGGTCTTCCCTTGCTGGTTTCCCCTTGCACATTTACTTTTCCTTGGTTTTATTTTCTATCTATTTATATTATCTAAAATTTTCTTACTAAGAAGAGGAAAACAGCCCGGAACTCTAAACCTAAACCTATGTTTAATTATGCAATAAATAAATAAATAACGGTAATAAAACTCTAATAATAATAACAATATTTAGGCCTTAATAATTAGAATAAATAGAATAAATAGGGACTTGTTCATTTAAGCGTATTTGAGGCAAAGTCTTTTAGTGCTCCTAAAGATTTGATAACACAGACTAGCTTTTGAAGATTAGGCGGTCATTCTGCTGAGGTGATGGTCTTTCGCAAACGTTCTCTCTCTGCCTTGAATTTGATACACCTGAAGAGTTTATGTTCGGCGTCTTCTTCAGTGCTGCAAACGGATGAAATTTACTGTAACGGAAACGTATTTCATCTTGTACAAAAGGGATATGTAAATCTGTATGTGTAGTTTGGTTCGATACATAAAATGGAGCATCTAATCATCTTAATCTAAGGTCTTGGTTGAGATGAAAAATCGTGGGTTCGAATCGTGCTCGTGAAGCTTTCTTTTTGACCTCAACAAAAACCATAGATTAAAAGTATAATTAATTCCTACGGTAGATCAATTAACACTTAATACAAACACGGATTAATACATGAAAATATTTACTCAATTTGTAGTGTATTAAATGTAATAAAAAACTTTTTTTAAGTTAATCCTTCGCATGTTAATTTTGCTAGTTAGTTATACAATAGATCGCCAAATACGATGATAAAATCGTGTGTTATTAGCACCTAAGAGCCATATATCACATAATAATAATAACTACTGTACACAGTAACTGTTTTTTGTTAGATCTAAGTTGAGAACATTTATTTCATATATGTTCCAAGAAAATATTTAGTAATTAAATATTAATGAAATCTACAGGGGGTCACGTTGTATCGGGCATCTGAACTAGCCAGGGTTGGCTGTTGATATTCATTTAAATGTTAATTGCTATTCTCTGAGTAAGTCTGAATCCGTCTTCCACTCCTAGTCTTGTTGAAGGTCCCTGCGATGTTTGGGACAACCAGTTTGTTGAAGCCTTCCCGCTCTCCGAAGCACCTTTTTTCTTGTCTTTCTTATCTTATGTAAATTTCATATTTCCCCTTTTGATTTATTTTATCCGTGGTTTCCCAGTCAGCATTATAATCATTAGCTCGACACTTGTCTGTATTAGCCTTATCCCTCTGTGCAATCCGGTATCCATGTGGCTCGCACATAATTTATTTTTTCCTCAATCTGAGTTGGTCCAAGGAGAATGTTCTTCCATTGATTAACTGCTTGTCAAACCGTAAATACCTTTTTTACCTTGACCTCATTGCGTCCTTCTTATATGGCAAAACAATGTATTATACGTTCAAATTAATGTACTGGTTTCATTTTTCCCTACAATATTTAAATTCCCGAGTGGGGCGATATAAACAAATAAAGCTATTTATTTAATACCAACGCTGAAATTTAAGCATTTTTTAAATATTCAACTGGCAAAATCATTCAATAATTGTGTTCCCCGTTATGTCCTTATTAGGCCAACTTCCTTTTTTGATGAAGGCCTTGCCAAAACATCTTGTACTTCATTTAGGATGTCTATGAAGATTGAAATCTGGGCGGCTGCAAGTCCCTTCGGCTCACGGCACTGGCACTCAGTTAATAAAACAGTAATATTGGGCTGGTGCAAAACTAATGCAGGTTTTGACAGGTTAGTCAAAACTATGTTTAATTTTTATAAAATAAAGAAAATATTTTCCATAACAATCTATACATCTTTGCCAACGTGTAATAAGCGCTTTTATTCCGCTGTCATAAAAATCTCTTCGACTCACAACAAAGTCTTGTAAGGCGTTTTCGGCTTCACCGCGTTCTCTAAAAAATTATTCCTCAAGAAGTGAATTGCTTAAAAAAGTGGAAGGCGAGAGGTCGGGTGAAGATGGAAGGTGCGTATGTTTTCATATCCTAAGTCCTTAAGTTTCCGTAGGGTTGGCATTGCGACATTGTGACTTGACACAAACTAGCGTTATTGTGAAGAAGAATCGGCCCCTAACGGTTTACCATTGTTGGACAAAGAAGTTGCAGTATCCAATGTATTTTGACATTTTCTTGGCTATATTTATCTGTTGTGATAGTTTCACCATAATTCAGGAAATTATAGTGAACAACCCAGTAGTAAACCACCAAACAGTCACCATAACCTTTTTCGGATGCATACTTATGTATGCGGATGCATATTTGGTTTCAGGACGGGTTTTGGCGTTCCATCCTTGTCCATCCTGTTATTGTACTGAATCTATTTCTTTATACGATGAGAATGGTTGTGCGACAGAAGAGACGTGCAAATTTCAAAGCGTCGATTTCTTTGGGCTTCGGTTATTTCGTGCGGTACCCACTTGTCGAGCTTCTTTACCGATTTGCTGCAGATGGCGAACAACGATCGAGTGGTCAACACTAAGCTCTTCCGCAATCTCCCGTGTTATCTTCCGTGAATTTTCTTCAATCAGCGTTTTGAGTTGGTCGTCGTCCACAATGGAAGAACTACTTGAGATATTAATCTCCAAGACGAAATCTCTGAAACCATCGCTGAACCGTGCATTCGCTAATGCTTCCCTACGCCCAAACTATATTGATGTTATGCGCGGTTTGGGCCGCTCTTAGCCCAAGTTTAAATAAATTTGACGAAAATCTAGTTTGGACATATCACACATACTTTATCTCTCACTTAAATTAAAATGTTTATATTATTTATTATATGTTTGGTGTTTAGTGATCGTTAATTAATGGTATTTGGAGATCGTGAGATGCGGTCTTGTGTGATGTAGGTTTAGAAAAACATTTTCTTTATCGTGCCAACGTTTCGATCTTTATTGAGATCATCTTCAGGGCTCAAAGTGTTTGTTTTCTGTGCAGATATGTCATTACTGTGTGTCGTACTCACTCGGCACTCTCAACCCGATAATGACATATCTGCACAGAAAACAAACACTTTGAGCCCTGAAGATGATCTCAATAAAGAGCGAAACGTTGGCACGACAAAGAGAATGTTTTTCTAAACCTGCGTCACACCAGACCGCATCTCACGATCTCCAAATAAGTATTTATTACATATATAAAAGTGAATTTTCGTAACTATAAAAACGAAAACTACAGAACCGATTTCGATGAAACTTTCACACTTTTTTTTAATTAGTGCCGGGCGGGTTAAGAGACTATAAAATGGTCATATAACAAATAATAAGCGGCAAGTTTACCAAAAAAAGAAATAACACTTTTTATTATCCTCCTGGCAACGCCAAGTAATTTATAAATTAGATTTGAGGATATGTTTTGTTTTGAGGTTTGTTTACATGACAAGCAGCTGCGAAAATAAAACAAATTTTCAAAAGCTGTATTAATTTTGCACCAACCCAATTTTTGATACAGTCTCGTACAATAAGCCAGAAGGCTGCAGTGCTTGGGGAACATAAACTCCCACTTCGGAAGTCTCCTTTCATCCTCCTGCTCATCATCTTCATCATCTGTTTAAAATAGCATGTACACTGCATTTAAAAACAATTGTTCAGACAAATAAATAGAACAATGCGTTATCTTGGTAATGCTTGGTAGGGCGGAACGAAACGAATTTATATCTGAACCATTGAACTAATCTGTTAAATAATTCTTTCATAGAAATCGATTAAAAAAATATATATTCCAATCATTCTTTAAGAGCGTGCTCCCCGTATCTCTTGGGGGCAGAGGATAAACGAGAATATAACAGTGTAATGTTTAACAGAGCCGAACTGGAACCATCTCTTCCTTCTCAGACGATAGAAAAATCAGTTTTTTATCTTTAAATAAATATGATAATCTCTGTCTACTGGAGCTGTTTTACATGAATTAGACAATTACAAAAAAAAAAAAAAAAAACACTAGATGCTTCACAAGAAGGGCCATTAGATAGGATTACTACGCATGTGTTGGGTGAATTTGTGAAGAATGCATTATTATATTGGATTGTTGTCGTTTTGATCGTTTCAGAAGATCTGTCGGCTAATTTATGATGTGGGCGTACTATCGAAATTTTTGGTGGGGAACGCACAAGATTGTCCAATGTCCAAAACGTCCCCCTTGCGAGTCGTGAGGTAGGCCGCTCTGGTGGGACCACGGTGAAACTTCCTTCTTGACAAAACGGCCGCCCCGCTGTTCCATTCCCACCAGAAACCAGTCGTCGGGGAACAGAGAACGGTGATCTCCGGAGTCGCTCTACAGAACAAACATAAACGTCAAATTTCAAATCGTAAGTTATTTACAAGACATATCTTTTTTTAATTAGCAACCATTCTTTTATTATTATTTTTTTGATATCCAATATCCAATTCACAATTATTGGCAATATTTACGTTTTCTGGTAAGACTTCTATTTATAAAATGTAATGTCAACATATAAAATATATTGTATGTATATAAAGAAATTGTGGGCATAAATTACGATATACATTATTTACTTTATCTTTAGACATAATCGAAATGTCAATAAAACGTTTGAACAATTTACAAAGGAAATATTATTATTTATTTACAGTCTACAGGAGGTTTGTCTCCTTTTGTTCTCTCTCGGCTCAAAACTAAATTGGCATAATAAAATATGGGGCACTAGGTGCAGGCTGAAAAATGTTGCGTTATTCGTTGTTTAATGATTCATTAGACAAGGACGACCGGTTTTTTGTTTATTACCATCCCTAAGTCGTTTTGTAAATCTTGCGGCGCAGGGAGGCATATTCAATTTAATAGATAATATTGTTCAATTTTCACCTGAAACAACCGATACCGGTTTAAATTGGGAATGCGCGCGCGTGTGTATGAATCGAACTATTTAAATTAAATTTCATACTACCCCTCGTCTTTATACAGATAATAATGTAACTGACCCTTAAACGTCGTCAAAACTTTAAGAAAACCGACGATTCCGTACAAAGGTTTAACAATCCACTGTTTTTTCGGTGTTTTTGAAAAAGTCCATTTATATGTCGGGACGCTAGATTTGAACCCCGGACCTTTACCTTGCAGTGATGAGTGCCGCGTCCTAAATGCTAAAAACTTTTTTTCTTTTTTAATATTATTAAATTACTATTGTTCTTCATAAATAATATTAACTAAGATTTTTTGGACTTTTTAGAAAAAATTATTTTAAAAAAACATCTGGGGCGTTGGTGGCCGCAACGGTTAGGCGTTGAGCTGCACATCACTGTAAGGCGGAAGTCCCGGGTTGTAAACCAGCTGCCCCTGAAATGGGCTTAAAAAAACTTGAACACAGAAATTATTAGTACCAATCATTTCTCTACCAGAGTAAATTGTTCTTAGCTTTCAAGAATTTCCTTTAATTTTATTGTTGTCATTACATTATTGTTTGTATTTTCTGCCTCGTCCTTAACAGATTTGATGCTCCGTTCTCAAAAATATTGATTAACCACTATTGTTTTGGAATGCTTTTTTTTAATTAAAAAAATCTATATTTGGGAGGGCAACTGCCACGGGTCATGATTGTCCCAATAATTATCTCATAGGTGATATGCGGGGCAGACGGCGGGCCTCAGCCCATTTGTAATGTGTTGATTGAAAAATGTATAGATAGTAAAGCGTCTGCCATTCCTAAAAAAATAAGCGTTAATTGTAAGTTTTGGTTTGATATCACAGGAAAAAAAAAGGATTGGAAAGTATAACATTTTACTGTATATGTGGACAAATCGTGGAAAGACAAATAAAAAAAGGATTATTTTTACGTATGGCATATAATACACGTATGACCCGGATTACAGTTACCAATTCAGATTATAAGATTAAGTTAGCCTCAAATATATTAAACCTAATCAATTTCGTTTTAAGATTTTTTAGCCGTTTGTCATTAGTCGGACGTGTTCTGGCCCCTCGCCATGTTCAGTAATAATTGCAGCACGCTTCAGATGCGTGCACGGTTGAAGATGCGCAAGAGGTCGGGAGAAATGTTAAGGACGACGTTAGATGACACGCAAATCGCGCAGAAAATATCATAAATCAACAACGGTTGTGAATCACGAGGAAAGAAAAATTCGAACGAGGATATTTTAAACCGAATTAATCCGTACGAGGCTGGTTATTTATTCCCTTGCCTCTGAAATAATCAACACCAGATAATTTCTGGAGGAGAATGAGGGGAGAAACATTAGAATCTAATTACGAGACACCCCAAGAAGCCCCTACTCGGAGTTTCATTATACACAACGATGTCGAAAATTGAAGATTATTCCTTTTTTCGTCCACGGATCAAAAAGAAGTACAACTTATTATACTGATAACGCAGAGTAGTATTTAGTAGATTGTAGATAAAATGGATTAAATGTCAAATTGAAAACGATAAATTGGATTTAATATAATACCTATCTATCTGTATTGTTTTATAACTGTTGTCAGATAAAATGAAATTGATAAATCATGATTGAAAATTAATCCAAAAAGTAAATATGCAATTTTCCTCGAATCGATCAATTTAGTGAAACGATAACGACTGAAATTGTTTTTTTGAAAAATACGTACTACACGTAATAATCGACTACGTTCCCAATCCTAAAGCATTGCGGAAATTCAATCTTTGGTGAAATTGTAAAATTACGAGACGATTCTAAAGTAGGACGGATGATAGGCATCGGACATTGACATATCAGCGGCCTTCGTTCAGGTCTCAACCTGTTTTAATCCAAGTAGATATGAATGAATTATTGTTCAAAAGCATTTGTGGTTTTCACTGCAATTTGCTAAATTGCATCTAACAAGTTTTATAGAGTTTTTTCTGTCTATTATCGATACATTAAACGCGTGTCTTATTATAAAAGAAATGAGTTTTTCTTCTATCTACATGATTGAATACCGTTGAAATCCTACAAAGCGATAATTTTTTACTCGAACTCGTCAAAGAAAAAAAAAGTCTGACACAAATTGCAGGCTATCTGCGATTTAAATAGTTGGCATTGCACAGCTCTGCAATGTATAATTTATGCACCATTTAATATTCTTCACTTGTCAGACAATATGCGAAACCGCGAAGGTTACGTTAATGAATATACTATTTTGTCTGTCTAATTATCTTTAAAATTGGCGAGGTGATATGCTGTCTTTATTTATAAAGTATTTTTAGTGAATAGTTCACCGCCCAAATTTACTGCTAATGTAAATGACATCGTAATAGAATCGATTGAATCGTACCTGGAATAATTGGATGTCCTGGTTGAATATCACATTTCGTGTATTGCGTTGGTAAAAACTGGTTCAAAGCCTGGATGGTTTCGTATCCTTATTGATTGATCCAGGTCTGCCAAAGCAAAACATGAAACAGTATAGAAATGACTAAGTAGGTGTTTTCATATTTCCGGTCAATTAGTGGTTCTAGTTTCACTATTACATCGATAAGCAAACAAGGCTTTTAGCGCTTATGAACTTTACTATGTCAAATGTCCTTAAGTATGACCTTTCTAGAATGGGAGTGAATGTTAAGCTATTAACTAATTAAATATTTTTAAACATTATTTAAATAAGGGAAAGTTTAATATGTGCATACTTGAATCATTAATCGAATCTCGAGTAAAACGTTTCTACAGTAAACTTCACATCATAATTTAATGCAATTATTACTTGGAACTAAATTTTAATGATATTATGCTATTTTATTACATTTTCTTTTGAAGTTTAGACATACAGATTTAAACTACTTGGGACATTTAAGAATATTACAATAAAATTATTGTTAATAGTTAACGAATATTTCAACTAAACTCCTTAACTCTGTAACTAAGGTCTGATTTATCTAGAAACCTAATCTTCAGTCTCTTCTTTCAAACATATCATCAGGAGGAGTCTGTGAGGCTTGTTCTGTGATCAACTTTTTTTGCTTTATAGGAATTTCTATACTGTTCCCCACTGGAACATTATAAAAAGCTAAATACATATAACTAGGAGTTGAAATATTCGTTAACTATTAATAATAATTTTATTAATAGTTATCTGAATATAATCATCATCGGATCTGGGTGGTTTGCGATGGTTTTTAAAATGAGGTGTGAACCTTCTGCGCTGTGCTCTTTCTGAAACTCTGTGGTCAGAGAGTACCTGTTCCATTTTTTAGCAGAATGTACAATTTTAAAAGAAATTTGCTTTAACTAGGCTAAATTTTGAACCGACCTACTCGTACCATATTGCAGAAATGCATAAATACATGTATATTTATGTTAAAGAGCTAAATATTTAATGCTTAATTAGGTACAATTTGATTTCAACTTTTTATTATTGTTTTATTTTTTGGCTTTACTTTCATATGTTTTTATTTTTTTCTCCTGTTTTCTCTATTAGTATTGTCTGTTATTTCGTGGATTTGTTTATATTTTCATTCGCCTCCGGCAGATGGAATTTAAGCCGTACTGTGCTTATTGTGTTTTTATTTTATATTACTGTATTATAACGAATAATAATAATAATAATAATATACCCTTTAGGCAAAGGCTCAACCTTTCGAGTGATTTACAGGAGTTACTGGGTCCCCAGTGTTTCTTTCGAAGAGCACTTTTCAGCTTTCTCAAATTTATTGGAATTTATAATGAGATTTAGGCCTTTTCCCAAATTGTTATACCATTGAATGCCTGCTAATGTTTGAATAAAAGTTGTGCGTGCAAGATTTCTTTTTTCAGAGGTTTTTGAGGCTGCCGGAGCGGAAAAATGAAATGGAAGAAAATAAAAATTGCGGGGGAATAAACTGCAATGCCCAAAATCGCAATTTAAATAAGAAAAATAGCTCCCCCCCAAAAAAAGAAGATAAAGATAAAGATATGTTATTGTGTTTTGTTTCTTATTATTGTAATGTAGAATTAGTTTATGTATCATATTTGAATGGAAGAATAAAAGGATAAGGATGAGCCAATACTCATGCTGAGACTGTTGCTAGTCTGACTCCATTATTATTATTATTATTATTAGCCATACAAGCCTACGGGGAATTTTTAAATTATGGAACAAAAATTCACAATTCTAATTAAAAAAAGAAACAGAAATAAATTTTATAATTTTATTAAATTTTATGCAATTTAAAATGGGAATTTTGTATACATTTGGCCTTCCGAATTAAGAATTTTAAAAAGAAAAATTAAAGCTTGGATGGCAATAGGATAAATAAGATTTCGAGTGAGTGTTTGGAGTCAGAGCTTTATAGCACTCAGAAGAGATATAGCTAACCTAAGATAGAAGGTTTGGATGTTAGGGCGTGAAATGACCTTAGCCGTTAAAACGCCCTTAAAAATTAATAATAATAATAATTAATTTTTAAGGGCGTTAAAACGGCTAAGGTCATTTCACGCCTTAACATTTAAACCTTCTTAGGTTAGCTACATCCCTTTTGAGTGCTATAAGGACATTCTCTGACTCCAAACATTCACTCATAAACTAATCTATCCTATTGCCATCCAAAGCTTTAATTTATACTTTCAAAATTCTTAATTTGGAAGGCAAAATGTATGCAAAAAACCCATTTTAATATATAAAATCTATGATTATTTGGAGATCGTGAGATGCGGTCTACAGATTTCAACTACATATGGACACCAAGCAAAGAGTATTCTGAAGAACATCGCCAACAATGAGAAGAAACTTGCATCGGCTATCAATCAGAGAACTTTTTGTTGAAATGCAGACAACACAAGGTATTTCCTACTCACATCAAAAACAACTTTAACTTCACAAATGGCACACTAACACAACCAAACACCAGAATTAACGACAAAGGCCACAATATATTTCAAAAGAAACATTTTAAACATAGAAATTACTACCAGCATTAGTCATGACACTGTCACAAAAATTACACCAATTAAATACTCATTGCCGCCAACATAATACCTACAGACACTTTCAAAAAATTCTACAAACATCAAAAAGATGCATACAATTTCCACTTTGACCAAATTAAAAACAAACATACCATAAAACCCAGACCGCATCTCACGATGTCCAAATAATCATTAACTAACGGTCACTAAACACCACGCATGTAAAATTTATTCCTGTTCTTTAATTAGAAATTTCGGATTTTTGTTCCGTAATTTAAACATTTCCCATAGGCTTGTATGGCTAATAATAATAATAATAATAATAATAGGCTCATCCTTTTATTCTTCCATTCAAATATGATAAATAAACTAATGCTATTTAACAACAATAAGAAATAAAAACACAATAACACTTCGTTTTCTTTATCCTCATTTTTTACGTTTATTAGACCCGCAATTAATTATTATTATTATAAGTAAACTTTTCTTTTTGTAAATATTACTTAAAAATAATATAAATTATTGTCATATAAATAAACTAAAATTACACATGCAAATTTTACATATTTTATAATTTATTTATTAATGATATTATATACATTATAATAGAATAAGAATAATATTTAATATTTTTTTAAAAAGGAAAGCCTTATAACGAAATATTGTAAAATACTAATATCCTTCGTTATACCTACGTCGTTTAAAAATGTAGATGCCTATGATGGTTGTAAATTCCCGAAAAGTCAAAATAATTGGTTAAATAAGTAACTTTACTTTTAAAAAAATTAATTGTTTTTCTTTGTTTATCAAAAACAAAAATATTGAGCTAAACATTTAAAAAAGAAAATGATGTAGCTAACATCGTCTTCTATTCATAATTTTCAGAATCCAATTCAATTCTTCAGTTCAACGTTGGAGTAAATGTAATTTCAACACAAGTATTCATAAGGCAATGCCAGAAGAGCTGATAGCTTCTGTCTCTCTAATAAAAAAATAAAAAAATTACATTAACGTATTTAAAGCTAGAGTGATCTAACCGTTCATATATTGAACGTGAATTGGCACTGGTCAAAGCCATATTTTTTCTGTTGCTTAGGTAAGCCAGCAGAAGTAAAAAAGCGTTAACAGAGGTTATCGCGACGATCTCGGACAGCCCAGTTCGATTATGCAATAATAGATATAGACGAAACAGCTATTTGAAATCAAATATTCATTATAAGTGACGGCCGAGAAGGCGGAAGAAAGTTAGAAATAATTAAAATGGGAAAATTTTCTCGGCTTTAGTCGGCGTTCACATCCCTTTATTGAGCTAAACAACGCCCTTACATGTTCATGATCACGGAATTTCGTGGTTAACCCTCTTCACGGAACCCGTTTATATTTCACTGGATAAAAACTCGACCTGAACTTTAAATAACACACAACGGCTTACTGTAATCCGGTCCAAACGGTTAGATTAGTTTGTTTACCGTCATAATTCTAATTGCGATGAACTCGAAAAGTCGGCTGAGAAAAGTCTACCCTCGGCTGTTTCAAACGCTGTTTCAAATGGATCTCCGAAAAATTCACAACGTTTAAGAAGATAAAATTACTATTAATTTTCCTGGTTCAGCCAGTTTGGTCTGGCTGAAAAAACAAATTGCAATTGACAAGCTTTCGACCTATTTTAAGGTCATAATAAGGACAAAACAATCGACATAATTAAGTTTTTAATAGATGGTTTCAAATTTCTTTTTGAAACGCGTCCCAACATTGCCAAGGGCTGTAAAACTATTGAACACAGTGAGTGGGGACTGAGTCTATTTTCAAAGAAATTTCTATTCTATTAAAAATTAATTATGTCAATGTGTAAACTTATTTACGAGTGTGAGATGTCCATCAGTAATCAACACGATGATAAACCTATTGTTTTATAGTTACCTACCATCCTGGTCCGCTTATCCTGGGTGAATTTTGTTGGTTCAGACGCGTATCGCCATTTCGTCATCTTCAGTGTATATATGTGTAGATGTATATATTATGACTCTGCGGGTAATGTAATGACAACTGAAGATGGCGAAATGCCGAAACGCGTCTAAATCAATAAAAACAAGCGAGGTTTTCAGACCAGGATGTGAAACAATCAAACAATATATTAAGGTCGAAAGCTTGGCAGTAACAATTGAATTTGTTCATCATCCAAACAATATCAAGATCCAGATTATTCGTGAGATAAAAAGTGGTCGATGCATCTAGCAAAGTATTACTTAATGCAGAACATAAATTTAACTTAAAACAATTATTGTAAGGTTAAAAAAAATTGTTACTCACCCAGATAGATCTTCAGATCTATCAAATTAATAACCGTTTCGCATTTATGTAAAAGAAAGACCATTCAAATAAAAAATAAATATCTTTACCTAACTAAAGAAAATTTTTGTACCGACTGAACATATTTTTTATAACTCGTAATTTTATAAAATTAGAGCTGTTTATTAACGAGAGATAAATAACCCAATTGGGATTATCTTATATCTTAAGCGCTACATTAATTGTTTGAGCAAAACCGGGAAAACGTTTTTTTTTTGGTAATAAATTTCTCTTATCCAATTCACTGCTCATCGAATCCTTTAATGCTCCTTATGTCGAAAACGGTAAAGCGATCGTTTTAAATATGATGTCTTGCCAGATTACTGGAATAATTTTATAATTTATCTCTTTAGTACTGCAGACAGTTGTTGAAATTCCCCTAGACCAATTCAATCGGTCAGATAAAAATTATTTTTCGAGATATATTTGCGATTAGATTAGAGGTAAGAAATATTGATGTAACAAATATCTCTTTATCTTATCTTTTATGAAAATGAGTATTCACATTTTATAATAGCTGTGATCTCCCTTTCTTAAAAAAATGGATGTTTTATCTTATTTGCCCGTATTCATACTGTTTCCTTTTCGTTAATTATTCAATTGATATTAAAATTATTTGTTTCAAATTGGAAAGGACCGTGTATTTAACCACATTTCTTTTTTTCATTTCACACTCGTTGCGTAATTTATAGAGGATTCGAAAAAACATTTCTTTCTTATCTGTCAGTGGTTGTTGATCATTTAAATTCCATTTGTTTACCCATTTTCTTATCTGTTTGCTTACCGGCTACTTCAAGCACTTGAACTACAATTGCCTACCTCCGTAATGATCGCTCATGCCTCATTAAGTGAAAAGATGGGATTAAAGAAAAACAAAATATTGAAACAGGTGTTTGATGAAGGCGTGTTTCTTCGTGGGAGTGAAAAAATGAAATATTTGTCGTTTCTTTCAGTTGGGCAGGTGACTGGCCGTTACAGAATATCGCGTGCTTCGCAAGTGACCCTTAGGCCTTACAACGTGGCTTTCACTTTGGCCAACAGTCATTACTCGAAATTCTAGATAAAAATATCGAGGCCAATGAAATCTCAATTGGATGAGAGTTCGGATCGATAAGACACGTGCTTTGACCACCTTTCTAAGTTGGCCTACTGTTGTACCAATTTCGTCATTTTTAACTTTTCTTTCATTACACATAATTTAATTAATTTACTTTTGTATTGGTAACGACAGGATTTATACTTCCGTGTTTAATCATTACGGACAGCCTAAACCGTTTTCTTGTAAGGTCCTAAGGAATCTTTTCTAACTATTTTCTGTAAAGCTTCTAGAATTAAAATGTTATAATTGACATGTTACAATAACAATCTTGAATATGAAATCTGATGTGAAAAGACAATTATATTTAATAATGCAATGGAGCAATACTATTTTTAGGCTTCGGTGTTTTTGAAAAAACTCATTTGTAAGTACATGGGGTCGAAGTCAGGGCCGCTGGATTCGAACCCGGGACCTTTACCTTACTTGGATGAGCGCCTAGTCAATGCCTTAACCGTTGCGACCACCGACGCCCCTATTTTAAAAATTAATGTCCAAAATAGAATCGTTAAAAATGTTATTAATATAAAAATTTGAATTGAAACAAATCAAATATGCTGAACCGTCATAGGGTCACTTATTAGGTCCGTCTTCGCTCGCGGGTTTCATGATTTACACAATGCTTTTCGGCATTGCGCCGTCTTCAGTGAGGAACTGCGAGTGAAGGCGGCCCCAATAAGTGATCCTATGCCGATTGATGATGACCCGCCGACCAATACCCATCATCAACTACAACAATTCAAATAATTTAGGAAAGTATACTAAGTGACCTGTGTTAAGATTTGTCTGACCTTTGTTAAGACAAAGCAGAAACCTGATCAAAACTGGACCGTCATTTCTCGTAGTTATTCTTTTTCAGTCGCTGTGAGTTGTATTTTGTTCTGAAAAAATGTGGTTTAGTAAGAATGTATATTATTGCCAACATTTTCAGCAATATCATTAATGTAATATCTGTTGGAAAGATATTTCTAAAAATAGGGGATTCAATAGTAGGCCTGCGTGTAGCTGAAGTAAGAATTCCCCAGGGTAACATATTAAGCCCAATTTTATTTGCAATTTATAGAAGAGATATTAATTTAAATATAGCACGCGGTGTAAGCATCTTATTGTATGCGGAGATATATATTTTAAATGTAATAACTCAAAAGGTAACGTTAACGAAGGTGTGATTGCAGTAAAAACGAGGTTATCCGAAAACGGGATGATCCTGTCGACGTAAAAAACAGTTTTGTGTCTTTTCACCAGGAAGTGGAAACTTCCTGTAGGTGAAAGGTTATTGCTGGCAAATACTTCAAAATAGAATGTAACTTCCTACGTCTAAATTTAGACATAACACTGAGTTGGAGAAGATAAATTGACAATGTGCAAGAATGCTGAAGGATTCCTGAATGCGTAAAAAGTGATAACCTTTAACCGGAGGGAGCGGATCCCTCGATATCATTACTATTTTGTAGAGGTACCATTAAAAATATTGTTGACTACGAGTGTTTCCTGTATGACAATGCTGCACCTTAAAGCATAACATTTAGATATGATTCTACATAAAAGTAGATGTCTGGGTATTGTCACCTCTGAACTTGAGGTACATTTAATTACCCCTGAAATTAGTCAGAGTACGCAGGGGGATACAAAGGAAATAAATAAACACACCAATTGGAATCAAATTCTTTCACCTTTTATTCAAGAATTAAGTACACACATCGGTTAGTCCCTTCAAGTCAGTACCCAGGACAAATGCTATATCGGACTTACGGATGGGCTTGTCAAACGTTAGGGTCGTGGCAAGATCCAAGCGAGCACTCCTGCCTCAGCTTGTTCGTCACCCCCCTCCTCTCAATCTTATCTTCTATGTCCGGGCTGAGCCCGTGACAGTATTTAAGATCGGCCCCAATTGACATAGTATTAACAGAAATTCTGGAACTACCCATTGAACTAGGAGACGATTTCTTTCGGAAAAATTCGTTTTAAAAACTATAGGAAGAGAATCAGATAAGATACAGCCCATGTATCAAACTGAGCACAAGCTGACCAAAGAAGATGATACTTCTTTGACTTTCAAAACTTGGATACGGGAACGGGTAATTGCAATTAACGTCTCCAAGCTTAATGATAAATAATGTTTTTACAGATGGTTTTTGCATTTTATGATCCGGTTAACAAGCATTCATGCTTGATAAACTTGTCCCAATTTAGTAGCGTGTAATACGCCATTTCAAACGTTCTTTGTTACTTAATAGTTAAACTCCCTGCTAAAGTTGAAAAATCGGAACTTAAATGCTTCTGACATCCATCTGATTTCTGAAATCCTGAAGAAAATAAATTGCCTAAATGGATGGATAAGAAAGTATCTTGGGTAAGAGCTCAAACAGGTTTAACACTTAATGAAAAAGTGGATCAATTAGCAAAAGAAGTTGCTTCACAGGTTAAAAGTTGGACACTCCACTATACTCAACTACATAGTAAATTAAAACTACATTATTACATGTGGTTAAATAGATATAGAAGTTCTATTAAGGGAAGATTCTACAAATAAATTCACCTTAAATAAATTAATTCACCTTGGCGTTACCAGTAAACAAGGAATGTGCAAGGCTTACGTAGACTATGCTCAAATTTACAATGAGTATTTATTCAAAATAAATATCACTAATTCAAGTATATGTGACTACTGCTCAGAAATAGATTCATGTGAAAATCTTGTGTGCCCCAAATATACCAATGAAAGGGTAAGTTACTCAATCCATATTTTATATCTGGCTCTGTTTGCCCACGGAATAACGCTAAACTTTACCCCCCAATCGCCCAGAAACTGTTGACTGGCAGCTATGTCCTATTTGTACTGTATGCACTATTATTTACTGTACACTGGCCTACCCTCTTCTCCAGAATTTTGCCATTTTGTCGTGTTCCACCTTAATTTTCGACGGTATTTCGTAAATCTTTGAAAGACTCTAGATTGGAAAGATACGATTTTGAATGCTTTCATTCTTAGAAAAGATGAAGGTAGGGTGAGTATGTAGATTTACTTTTTGTACATCATCGTTCTATTCACAGATTTGTTGTTTGCAAAGATCCCGATTTCAAGCATTAAACGTCATCATCAGGTTGAGAGTTACAAACATTTCTATGAATTTAAGAGTGAACCCGCCGATTCCCCGCCAACGCGAAGTTCCAATGAGAAGCTGGTTTTAATTTTGAATGAGCGAAATACGAGAATTACAACACAATTAACT